AAAAAAAAAAGAAAGAAAAAAGAATCATACTAACCTGGACCTGGACCTGGCTACAACCCGGTTTAAATGTATTGTACCAAACTGAATGTCCACCACGATCCTGAACTTGCGTTGATTGACTCTTCTAAATTCTGCACGACCCTGCAAGATATATAATTGAGACCTTTTATATCCCTCCAATACAACTTGGGCACTCTTACAAATCTTCAAAACTCCACCCCACCAAAAAAACTCATAATTGAATCAAAGATAGATAACGAGATGAGATTTTTCTTCAAATTTGGAACATGTTGAAAATGGTTAAGTGTTCTAATTGTCCCATCCAAAAGCTTCAATCTGATGTACCAATTCCAGCAATCTGACAAGATGCGTTATTTCCTATAACCACAATACTTTTGGAAACAGTTTCATATGTAGCAAACAAGTCCTTATTAGGACACATATGAAACACACATGCTGAATCAAGAATCAAATCATCTTCCGATTTAGACTCAATGTCAAAAATAGCTAAGAGATCTCAATCACTTACAACGTTTTCTATGATGTCTGCTTTGCCTAAAATATCTGATTGTTTTCCATAACGACTTGCAGCCAACCTTTATTTATTTTGCAATTTATAGTAATCCTTTTTTAAGTGCCCATTCTTCTTGAAGTAGTTAAAAATCTGATTACTGAACTTAGACTTCATCTGCCCATTCCAGAACCACCATGAACAAACAGGCCTTCTCCATCTCTGGCCTCAGAAACCAGATGCTTCATCTTCTATTTTGAACACAAAGCATTATACATCCCCTCTATGGTGATAGTATCACGACTATACAAGATCGTATCTCTAAAAGAAGAAAACAAAGTGGGCAACGAATACAATAGGACAAGGCCAAATCTTCTTCATCATACTCTACTTTCAAAGTTTCCAAATCAGCGACGATCCCTTTAAATACAGTCGGTGATGCTCCAATGATCTTTCTTCTGCCATTCGATGAGAGTATAAATGCTGCTTGAAGTTCAACTTGCTTGTGAGATTTTTAGTCATGCACACTTGCTCCAACATCAACTATAAAGTAGTTGTTGAATTCTCCTTCAAAACGTCCTGAAAAATGGTATTCGATAGATGAAGATGAATGTGAGAAACTGCCTTCTTATCCTTTCGTAATTTCTCATCCGCGATCAAAGTTGCGGGCATCTTGTCAATTCCCAGCAACACATCATCCAAATTTAGTTGTGCGAGTACTGCACGCATCTTAACCTGCCATAGTGAAAATCTAGTGCTTCGATCCAAAAGCGGAATGTCATACTTCATGGAAAACATCAAGAACAGAAACTTCGAACAAATCAAACCTTGCGCTCTTGCGAAACTGCTGAACCTGGCGCTCTGATGCCACTTGTTGTAAAACAACTACGATACCAGAATTGCTCAGATACAAATTCTTGTGAAACAAACCACCGGATTGAGATGTTGAAATTATATGGCAAATACTAATGAAGTATATGATCAAGTAAAAGAATAATAAAGACAAAAATATGATAGAGGAATTAAGAGATTTTATTGACTCAAAAATAATGGAGTGAGAAAATTACAATAGATCCTATAATTCTAGTAATTTATTTTTTCACATTTATAAAATTGTATAAAAGAGTCTAATATTTATAGGGAACATGTAAGGGACGTCCAAATCCTCTGGTAGAGTTGCTGATGAAGTAGGATACCAAAAAATAGAGTCCAAAATGAAGTATGACAGAAAACAGCGAAAAACCCGAACAGCACAGGTGGTGCCGCGACACCCATGCTCGGCACTGTGGCGCCGGACACTGCCGAATATTTTTTTTAAAATTGTTTTCTCCATCCAAATTCTTCTTCAAGTCCAATACCAGATTTTCAACTCTCAATGGACTTTCAAAATAGAACTTCAACTTGATATAGGACTCTAATAGCATTCCAAATTAAATTCTCCTTGACGTGCACTTCAATTAGAATTCTTCAATACTTCATCAAAGAATTCGAGTTACACCCAAATTATAACATTTCAAATAACGATTTTGTCAAAGAATTCGTTAGAATGGCTTAAAAGAGTTATTCGTCTCTTGTAATTATAGATGAAAAAAAAATATATATATATAAAATTTTGCCAAAAAATTACTCTCTCATTCCAATGCATATTAACAAATATTTGAAAACCTTGTCCAAATATTTATTAGAAATAAGGTATGCTATTAATTGAAGGCAAATATACAAATGCGACCAAAAAATTGAAGATGTAAGTGTAAAAATAAGTAACAAAAAGCCTTTATTGCGATTAAAATTGAAGTACAAATAATAAAAATGGTGATTTAATTATAATTATCCATAAGTAAACATGTCATGCTCGAATAAAATAAGACCAAACTACTCTTTACCCAATACATACCACATCAAAATGAAACTATACCAAGTCGAAGATTTAACTTACAAGGAATTCGAAATATTTATTAAAATCATTTACTTAAAATACAAGTTTTTTTAAATGACCAATCACTCAATTCAAATATATAAATAAGTCGCGGAATGTTTGGTCTCTATATCAACCCCATCTTCCGTATCTCACTGATTCTTACAAGTCTTCCTAATACTATTTCTTTAATAATGTCCTTGTTATAGCAATAAATAAATCCTCATATAATTTTTGGTTAAACCACTGTCCTATAATCTCCCAATCATTTAATAAATTTTGCACATATTAGTATGATTCAGTCTATTATTATCTACATTTTTCACAACCAGAAATTTTAATCAAATTGAATCCTCAAATTATTAATGATTTTGGAGGAAAGAATTAGACTCCTCTTTCAGTCCTTCCCCCTTATGGCCCTTATCCATATTTTTGGCCTTCTCATATAGTAGAGCCCTCCTCCACTGTTGTATCAGCCAAATTTATTTATACATACAGGGCCTATATATATAGGTTGAGAGAGAAAGAGAGAACAAAAAGAGGAGCCTTAGATGGTGTACGTGTAGCCCTCCATCTCCACTGTATCAGCCAAATATTTATATATACAGACAGGGGGCTATATATATAGGCTAACAGAGAAAGGGAGGGAAGATTAAATAGAAAAGTGGTCTTTGATTGATTATATATATTCTGATGGTGCAATTTGCAGCTGCCAATACTATGGATCTTGGAAATTTTAGTACTATTAGCAGTGTCAGCTTCCACTATAATTCTGATACTAGTTTTAGTTGCAGATACTTCCATTTATCATCGGCAGTCTTGTCCCTGTCTTCCTTGTGTTTTGGAAGTTCCAATTTAATGCCCTTAATGGCTTTTATTAACCCCTTTATTAGGGCTATCTCTAATTTAATTCCCAAGCCTTTCTCTGAACAAGGGACAGCTTGAATTTCAATTTTCTGGATCATAATTGTTTTTCTCTTTTCTTTTTTCCCAATGCTTTTCTTGATGAATTTACTGCTTTTATGGGGGTGTAGTAGCACAATCTGTTGCCCCTTTAACCTAATTTCAGCTACCCTTCTGTTATTTTCTTGAAAAATTTGTCTTTTATACTCAATTTTCAAGAATACTCTCTTATTGCAAAACCCCTTTTGTTCTGTTTTTGAGAGCTTGGAAGATTTCTTTTCTTTCTCATTCAAGAAAAGTCAAGAAAATGTTGTCTCTTTCTCTTCATGGGCTTAATTATCAGCAGATGAGGATGGTTTCTGGTGGGGTGAATGCATCTTCACCAGCTATGGCTTCTTTGGGATCTCGTGGCAGGTATTTGATCTTCTTTAATGCAAAAATGTAATAAGTTTTATTGGATTTGTTATAAAATAAAACGTAACTGATTTATTATGAGTATGAAATTTGATGTACTATTTTTTATTGTACTTGTTTTATGTAAAGTTATAGTAAGTGGATTGGAGAAGCATTTGTGCTACTACTACTAGTACTTGGCAATTCCCAATATCCCTTTATTCTTTACGATCATCAGGTATGAATTTAATAGTTGTGGTGGAATTTGGAGTGGTTTTGGGAAAGGAAAGAGGAACAATTTGATTGCCACAACTGGGAATGCTGCCCTTAAGAAGAGGAGGTTGAGTAATTTACCTCTGTGTTCTTCTGCTCTGGCGGAATCCCGAAATTCATCCAGAGCCGACATCTATAAGGAGGTTGGAGTTTTTTTCTTTTGAAGTAATGTATTCCTTCGGTTTGATCTAGTTCTATTGTTGATTTAATAATGAATTCTAGCCATGCAGATTATCGATATCCGTTGTTACTTTGTTTACGCATCTAGCCACTTAGTAACACAGTCGATTTTGAGAATACACTGCTAATTTTGGAAATATGTGAAATTCTTTTAATCCGTGATTTATATTATGATGATCTATCAGGTTCTTGAAGCTGCTAGGGAAAGATTTACTCAGGAAATTTCTTTCCAGTCCAAGGACAAAGATATCTCACTTGCGAAGGTCGTAATTTATTCTTGGTTCCCACTTCCTGTTTGAGGTGGTTAATGTTCAATCAAAAGAATATATACCTTTCTTGATCTGGTTTCCTTGTTGATCCTCTGTAGTTAAGGTGTACATAATATCTTGAATTCGAATTTTTTGATTGAATATTCTCTATTTCTGAATTGCTGCTAGCATTTGGTGACCATTTGTTATAGTGCTAGTGGTACCATTATCGTTTCATTTTCAGTTTTGTGATTGGTCTTCTCTTTTCCCGATGGATTTGTCTTGTTGTCCATTATGGATGCCTTTATGGCATCCATAGTGTACAACAAGACAAATCCTATCAAGTAATCATTGCGTAATTAATTTTGTGAAAAGCAATTTGACGTATTACCCATTTCCTATTTTAGACACGATAATGTACTAGTAGCAAGACCCTTTCCCGATTTACTGCTACCGCTTGGTGAACAATTGTTAAAATATTAGTGGCTCCAACCTCTATATCTTCTTATGACAGACAATTATGTACAGTTGCTGAAGTCCGTGTATTGAGTTTCTTCATTCTTATACTTATTATACGAGTTGTCGGCATCTCTTTTGTTTATGTGTTTCGGAATCTTTTCTGTAGGCTTTACTTTATGTTGCTGCTGAAGATGAGGCATTTTTGGCTTTAAATCGGGAGTTGGACTCTCGTTCGCTCAATAATGAAAGGAGAGATTTGTCATCACCTTCTGATGCTGAAGAGTCGGATTATGTGGAGGCTATGCTTCTAGCTGGAAAGAATATAAGTGAGTGGCTGTCCGAGTTGGATGCCATTGCTAAGCAAGTCGAAGCCGAGCTGGTTTCAAGAGATATAGGATGTGATTTGGTAGAAGTTTTGGAGGCAGTGAACAAAGTTCTTTTTGAGTTGAGAGGTTTCAAAAGGTCATTCATAGTAACAGATTCGAAGTGTTCATACCTGCACTTTGTATTAAGCTCTGGATGTGCCAGCGGTATACCTTCATCAATCTATTCTCCTAACGCATCTTAATTATTAGTTTATAATTCCAAGATTACATAATTTTTTATTTAAGTTAATTTGCTTAAGACCACAGCTAACTAGAAATGCTACCATATTGCCAGCAATTTTACTTAGTGTAATTTATATTGAGGTTTGTCGAAGACTTAATCTGACCATTGTGGGATCTCGAGTTGGGGAGGATTTTTTGATATGGCCACCAACTGGGAATCCTGAGGTATGTTGATTTTCTGAACCCATCAATAATGTCATGGATTTATGCCTGTCATGGTCATTTTCAAAGTGACACGTATAATTGATAATCTTATGGCTTGTTTGATGAGATGCATTATACATGACAGTGTTTGGAAGAAAATAAGCTAAAATCTTGTCCAATATTACTTACCAAAAAATCATTTTACAGTTTCAAATTTGTCTTGGTTTGACGATGTTCGGTCTCAGTTTCTAGAGTCTGATATGGCTACCTTTTTGCCACAATGCAGAGGCTATTCAAAGTAACTTCTGGACATAGCTTGTTTGGGGTTGTCAATGGGAAGTGTGTGGACGACCCCAGATCTAAGGCCTCTGACATAAATAGTAATTCGCTCTTGGGGCTTGACATTGCTGCAAATCGGGATATTATTGGGATCGCTTTGGCAAATTTGATGGTAAGCTCTATCATGCCAGTAATTCTGTGGTGCATAACTTCAGCTCTTAGTCTTTAGTTTTGCCAGCCAACAATTTTATGGTTCCAACCATGGAAATAAATGGTTTATATATATTGCAGAGGATTTACTGGAAACGGGCTTCAAGAAAAAATTATGGATTGATGCTGACTTCTCCCCTTAGGTCTGTTTATAAAGCCGGCGAGAAATTTAACAAGAATGATGGTGCAAATTTCCCTTTGTTGCGACCTCAGGAGCTGAGGTAACCTTCTTGTATTCTCTTTATAACTCGACTCCTACTTTTGCCCATTTTCCCAATTGTGAAGGTGTGTATTTGTCTCTGTCTGTTTCGTTTAAGACGCTTATATTGCAAGATTGGCATGTAGAATCAGGGAATTATGATTTTGTACTCATCTGGGGGGTTCACTTTTGGTGTGCATGCTGAATGTCCTTTATGTTGATAAAAATTTAATCCCCTAAGCCTCCGATGTCAGAATTAATGGTTTAATACATACGATTCAAATGTGTGAATTGGATAAGTCTCCGATTTGTGTGATAACTAGACACTACTTTTTAAATGCAAATTATGCATATCAAAGAGTCATGTTATTTCGATAGTGTGACTACTCACAAATGTGCATGATGAAAAGTCATGACCTTTTGATAGGGTGTAATTTACACTATTAAATATGAAATGGTGTGATCTAATGGTTAAAATTAATATTGCCAAAAGATGTGACCGTTAGGGAGAGAGACATTGAAATCTATAAATAGGATCTCCAAATTCCATTTTTTTCACTCCAAATAGTTAATTTCTAATTCTTTCTTTCTCCAAATTATGTCAAAGTAATTTCCAAATTATTTTCGACTTTTGTGTTCGATATATAGTATTCGATATCTTCCATTCTAGAAAAGTACGGTCAACCGTTGGTTCGTCCGGCAAAATTAATGTTGTGCTATATTAATTTTGAAAGAAGCATTGTATCTTGGGATATAAGACATCCATTTAATCATGTTAACACCAATGTAGGGTGCGAAATTTGTCTTGAAGATATTTGCATTTGCATATGTCGGTTCATTTAATCTCCTTCTAATTTCTACATTTAAGTAAGTCGAAATTTGTGCACGTATCTTAGTTTCGATAAGACAAAATTTTATTCAATATTTTGCAAGTCTAAGTCATGATTTTTATCGTCTTTACATGTACATATTTTTGGTTAACAGAATATAATTCATGCACCAATTTATCCAACATCTGAACCAAATAAATAACGAAATGCACAAGCCATGATACCTATTTTTCACTGCTATAGAAATATAACTATTTAAGCAATAATGTGTAGTACTGTAGCTTGTGCATAACATACTGTTTCGGATGTTATAATCCTTTCTAGACTCGCAATCATGGCTTCCCAAAGATTGCTGATTCTGCAACCGCACAACTGGTCCTTGAGACGAGATTATGGCATGATGTTGTACTATAGTAGGTATGAACTAAGAAACTTTATATTCCAGTTATTTACGTTTTTCACCATTATTATTCGATCTATTATGTGGTAAACTACAATCAACTTTTATAAATTACAGAGAATACGAGGAAGCAGTCCAAGAACTTAGCATCTGCATGGCTTTTGCCCCGGAAGAAGAGGCCGAAGTGCTAGAACCATTTGTCGAAAAATTACATCTGATGCGGCTTGAATCATCGTGGAAATCTTTGGGGCAAAAAGGTCGGCTAGCTGTTCCTTGACTTGTCTGTTTTCTGTACAAAATAGTTAATACTCATCTACTTGCTCACTTATATGATAGTTTGTATAATGACTCCTATAATGGATCTTAAGCTATAAACTTACTTCTGTATATATTTTCCTTGAAACCATGTTTAATTTGCATGGCTCGAGAATTATATTGGTACATACAGAAAATAAAAGCAGGCTTAGCTAAATATGAATTTACCTCGGTCAGTAAGGCAAGATGTTCTTGGAAAGTGAGCAAGGCTCCTTTGAATGAAATTCAGTGTGATCTCGAGAGATCATGTCTTCATCTATATGATCCCAGGTATTGAGATTGATAAAAAAATTTACTCTATTTACGAGTTTCGCGAAGACATATACAGATTGCAAAAGTCATGCTAAATAGGTCATTCGTTTCCTATTGCTGTCTCTTGACAGACAAAGATCATCACTTTCTCTGGAATTGTGCATAAAATTTACTACATTAGGAAGTAGAGCTCCTAGTGATATCAAAAGTTAAAAGATATATAAAAAAAAGGGTAAATTCAAGATATATCAAACTCTCAGATGACCCTGATAAAATTTGAGGGTACTTCAAAAACTATTTTACATGGTAGAGAATTAAAGAGGTGAAGATAAGAATTAATGAATGAAACTCATTGACAAGAAAAATTCTTGGATTTATTCACATCTGGTTTATTTTTTGCTCGACATGACATGATCTCCAAGGGAACACATAGTGTATACTTATCAAGTTGTCTGCAAAACAGTAAGGTGCCTATCCATCTTAATCAAATTGATCAATGGCCTACTTATTTTGCAATATTAACACCATTCAATTAGCAACTATAGTTTGGATGGATAAGTGTGGGTACTTAAAAAGTAAAACCAAGTGGGAATGTAAAGTAGATAAGCTTTGGAGGAGTAGGCTGCTAACACCCCCACACATCCACTCACCAACCCTCTCTAATTCATCTCCATCATTATGTTAAATTGTTGAGCCTAATTATTGTCCTAATGTATCTTATAAATAGGGAGTCGTCTTTAAACTTTATTATTATCATCAAAAAGAGAGGAAGAAAGACCAGAGAAGATAGGGGTGCAATTTTCTCTTGCAAACATTTTTCATCATAGTAAATTACTGTAGCGATGAGAGAGGGCGGAGTCTGAGGCGAACCTCCATATATCTTGCTTGTTCTTGGGTGTTCATTTTCTCTCTTTGAGTTAATTGCTCTTGATGTAATAGAATTAGAGTTTATAATTCTCAACACATTAATATCTGTGTCCAAGAAAGCATTTCTTAGCCCTTCGATGAAGAAAATGCAGGAAAAAATCATATCTTTTGGGTATTTGGGATGATCGCCGTTGATTATAAATAACATTATCGTTTATACTGGGTTTGTCCTCGTGATTTGAATAATTTTATTTATCCCGACTTGATGTCAATCATCAATGACTGTCATGTTGTCCAATAAATTTAGAATGCATATTTATAAAAAGAATTGGAGGCTGTTACAGTAGGAAAACAACTGACTAAATAGAATTTAAGGTTTTTCTTTTTAATGATTATTTAATACTATATAATATCTTACTGAAACTGTTATCTTTTTAACAATTTTTTTTTTCGAATTTGTTCATCTAATCTTTGAATTGTTTTTTCAATTAAAAAAAAAGGGTAAATTGCACATTTATTCTTCAACATTTGCTCAAAATGGCAATTCTGTCTCAAGTTCTTTTTCGTCACAATTCCATCTAAAATTTCCATAAATTAGCAGAATTCGTCATTGAAGACTGTTCCGTCAATTTTAAACATAGATCAGTTATGTGAGATGCAGAATCTATTTAGCAAAGGGTAAAATTGTCAAGTCACTTCGTTTGAACAAGCTAAAAGTTTTTTTTAAGAAAAAGAAAAAAATTGTCCACTTGTTTAAATAAATAAATATAAAAAGAAAACAAGACTGAAAGAGAGAAGAAGGGAAAAATTACATAATTACAAAGGTTTCGAGATACGTTTTCAAAAATAACAAACTTGTGGAATTTTTTAAAACGTCGGTCACGTTTTGTGACCTCTGATAGTTTTGTGATCTATAATTTAATTAATTAGCTCATGGTCAAAATAACACAAATTTTTTTTATTACGATCACATTACTAATAACAAATCATACAAGTCAATCACAAAATACAATTTTTGGGCCACAATCATGTATTTTAGTGACAAATCACATGTTTTATTATGTCACAAATTGACTATTATCCAATTATTTGATCACAAACAGTCAAACACTCTTCAATTCACCCACCTCACTTCACCACCGTTGACACCACCAAGATCGCCAACGTCACCTCCAATTCATGAGCCACCACCACCCTCACCTTAAGTCCACAACCATGTTTACCTCCCACCACCTACCTCGAAATAACCATCACCACCACCAAGCATTTGCACCTAGTCCAACCCTTCATCCCGCTCTCTCTTTTTTGACATCTACTGATCATGTCCACTTCCCTCCTCCTCCATGGTCACCTCGTGTGGGATCTACTGCTATTGGATTATTTAGCAAGATGGGGTCATAGCTCTCTTTTGCGGTGGTTCTTCCACCAAATCCACCACCTCCACCTTAATACACGACCAAAACCATCGAACTACAATAAGTGTCCTCACATTCAATCAATTGGCAACGTTGACTCAATATATGGTGTAGCAATAGAAACGATGGTTTTGTTTGCTTCACTTAGTCATCGTTTAGGGTTGTGAGGTTTAGAGTGGTGTCAAGTAGGGTGGTTTGGTGTGAAATTTGACTTTTGAAAGAATTAATTTAAATCTTGATTTTTGAAATATAAAGTTAAAAAACATGGTCTGGTATAATTTTTCCAAAAAGAAAAAGGAAATTCTGAGCCTAGAGGCACCCTAGGCTCTATTTTAATGGACTGGCCCACTCCGCATGTAGACCGGTTGATTTGGCACATAAATTATTGGGAAAATTCATGGATTGTGTTTTAAGTTTCACCAATGCAAAAATCATGTTTCAAGTTTAAAAATTACAAAAATCAGATTTTTTAAAAAAATTATTAAAATAAGGTCACAATTATATGTATTTTGGTCACATATATCTTATTAATTATTTAAAAATTAATTTTTGACCACAACTTATCAAATTAAATGATCACAAATTATTTCGAGATCACAATTTATAGGTTACAATTGACTTCATTGGTCACTGATCAAAAAAATTATAGGCCACAAATTTTTAATTGGTCACAAGTCAAAAAAAATTATAGATAACAGATATCACATTTCCAAATTTGTTGGTCACATATTATATTTTTAGTCACAAATTATCAAATTTTAAGGTCACAGTTTAATAGTTAATCACGGTGAACCAAATAGTTGGTCACACACATCAAACACCCCACCTCTACTCTCGATCCAACACCAATACTTGGTCACAAATCAACTAAATAATTGGTCACAGACAATATCTCACACCACCCCCACCACAACTACCGTCAACAAAAATGACCAACATTGCACCCTATACCATACCACCAATAATAACCACCACACGCACCCACATCATACACACACCCATCGGCAGCTTCGCACACGACAGTGTCCCGGGGTGGGGGTGGGGGTGGGAAGGGGGGGAGTGAGAATGGAGGCGGAGCCGCTACACGACGCTGTGAACTGCAGTAGAGTCGCAACGCTGCCACCACTCACATCAGCGTCATCGTTCACATCAGGCAGAGAGAGATGAGGGAGAGAGGGGGAGGGGAAGGGGAAGGAGGAGGAGCCGTCGCCGCCGCACAGTAGGCAGAGAGAGACGAGGGAGAGAGGGGAAGGAGGGAAAATGGAGGAGAATGAAATGAAATTAGGGTTTGAGTGGTATAATATTTAATTACCTGAATTTTGATTAAAAAATTTTTCACACTTGATTTTTGCACTTTGAAGTTTAAGCACCCGATCTATGTAATTTTCCCTAAATTATTCGATAATATTTTTATGTATTTATTTTATTTCTTCAATTCATATATTTTAAGAGACACCACACACACCTATTATTTAAAATATTAAAATAGTAAAATACATCATTTTTATTTCTATCGATACTGTAATATAAAAGTAAGTGATATTTCACAAATTGCTTCACTCATAAAATTAATCCATTTAACAACAGTTTATCACTCCATTCACCATATAACCTTATCGCTCTAGCTCATAAATCCCAAAATTTATCTCGCTCAAGATGTCACTTCATAATTGAAACCCTAAAATTCCTTTTCCTCTATATCATTCTTTATACACTCCTCTGGTATGACGGAAGGTAAGGTATTGAACACCTAAAAAATGAAAATCTGGATACCCCTCGTCGTATTATCGGTTCCCTAAATATTTTGCCAAGGTCATTGGTCATCGATTATCTGATATACGACATTTACATAATCATCCCGACTTCAAAAAGAACACACCCTTAAACAACAATGGGGAAAAGAGCAGGGCCTACCCTGAAATTTATGAGACCCTAGGCAACAATAGTTATTAGACCATTAAATATAATTTTTTAAGTAAGCGTAAACGTCTCTTCAACACTAATCATGGTCTATTCAAATTCAATTTTTCTATAGCTTTTGAAAAATGAAATGAGCACTTTTAGAATAAATAACTTTTTTTTTTTTTACTTTCATAAAAATTAATTTATAAATTTTAAAGAAATTTTATAAGAGCAAAAAATTATATGGGAGATTTTATNTAGATAGAAAAACACAACAAAATATATCACTAAGCAATAGTTTAATTATAGATTCATTTTATTTCTTAAACAAGAATGTAAGTTAAATACCTCAGTAATTTGGGCTTTTTATTTAGACTAATTTTTTTATTTTTATTTTTATTTTTTTTTTTATTTTTTTCCATTTGTCGAAACATTGCAAAAAATTAATTGTTGCGTGAATGAGCACCTGAAACATCTAAGGTCCAGGTAAGCTAGCAATAACATTACGCGAAAAATTAATTTTAAT